TTTTTTTTTTTTTTTTTTTTGTTGAGTGTATCATTCATTGTTGTTGGAATGCTAAAACTTGCATTGGTATCTTTATCGAGACCACATGGTGTGTGCTTTTGTGAAAATGATCTAAGACATATTTTTGTTTGAGCCTTTTTGACTTTTTAGCTTACCAAATGATATTTTCATTCCCTAGTTAACATTTTTGAGCTTTTGCCTATTTTATTTGAATGCCACATATTGAGCTACATCTATATTTTTCCTTGTCCTTACTTGAGCATTTAGAATTATATCATATGAGGAGGATGAGTGTATTGTTTGTGGTGTGGATAAAGGGAAGACGTGAATGGGAGTGTAAGTTGATGGGAGAAGTTGAATGATGTTGAAAGAGTTGTTTTAATAAAAAATAAAAAGTTAAGAAAAAAGAAAGAAAAAAAAAATAAAAAAAGAAAGAAAAAAAAATGTATGTATAGTTGCTTATATTTTAGCCTTGACTCAAATAAAGGCAGTTTGGTTGGATTTCTTGAATTCCTTATATGGCTTATGAGTACTGATTGAAATGGGGTATGGGATAAGTTGTTTTGAGCTTGAACTTCATTAATGGGTGGTGACGTTGTGAAATTCATGTTTTGTAGTTCTAGATGCTCAAGTTTTTGTCACTTTATCCATATTTTTTCTACCTTAACAAAAGAGCCTACATTACAACTAAATAAGAAGTCCTTTTTTATTCATAAATTGCACAACTAAATAAGAAGTCCTTTTTGATTCATAAATTGCATGCACAATAAGTGGTGGAGATAGTAGACAATTTGCAAGCTTATGATAATTTTTCAACATTGAATTGACTTGAGCGATTATTTCCCTAGACACTTTTGAGAGTGAGAGTATACACTTATCCGGTGAGGTTTGTGGATTGAAAGTATTGACCATGATTTTGATGAAGCATTCTTTATGTTTAAAAATGTCGGAACTTGGTTATGTTACTTGTCCGATGCCTATTGAGAATGTGCATGATTGACTTTGAGAGTTGTGATTGTTTTTCCTTATGTATTGATAGGAGTTTGATGCATTGATCGGGACTATCAATGGTTTAAGTTTCGGGGTTTGTTCATGTGTGATTTTACACCATATTTATATAGTATCTACAGCTTATTCATTGCATTATTGGTGTATAAATTGCATTATTGTGCTATAATTCTATATTTGTTGGAAAGGTATTACACGTGCTTGTTTTGTAGATATTTACACATATTTGTAGAGCTTTTGCCTATTGGAGGTGCATGGTGAGTACCTAGGAACCCCAAGATGATGAAAGATTGATGCACGGATTAAAAAAAATAGAAGAAACGAGTGAAACAGACAAGATAAAGAATGTGCAGAGTTGACACAGTCACCGTGCCTGTGTCAGAGGCCGTGTCACCTCAACAGAGAGATTTCAAAGCCCAGGGACCTGACACGGGCTGCAACACGGACGGTGACATGGGCAGACTGGCCGTGTCGCGCGCGCAGGCTGTTTTTTATATCTTACCTATTTTGAAAAGGAGAGGATTTTGGACATTATAAAAGACATATTTACCTTATTTTGAGTGGAGAGGAACGTGGAATACACAAGAGGAGGAGCCCTAGAACACACAAGAGAAGAAATCGGCAAAGAAGATTAACTACGAAGGGATCAAGAAGATTGAAAGATCGACGAAATTTATAGTTTTTCGTTCTTCTTTATTTTGAACTTTTATTTATCATGTCGATTTTTAATATGTCTATGTATTTGAATTCAAACATGAGTGGCTAGATTATTTGATTCTAAGATTTGGTAGTAGATTAATATGTTGGGATTTTGGATGAATTATTCTTATTGATTGTTTTCTTTTGAACCCTATTCAAATATGTTGTTCTTATTTCATGTTTAGCACTTGATCAATGCTTTTACATGTTTGACAATATTGTCCATAATTCGAGAGATGAGTTCAATATTACGTCTTTAATATTTGACACAATTTACTTGCTTGAATCGAGAGATTAGTAGGTCGTTGTGAGGATATTAGATCTTTTAATCTATTTGGAGTTGAATTGCATGTGTTGAGTGGAGACGCTAATATATGTGATTTAATCTACGGTTTTATCGATCATGAGAGTGACGATAAGCTAAATTTGTGATCATCTTATAAGGGAGATAAAGAAAACATTGTTTGTGATACTTTTGAAGGAACCCAACTGTTAATTGAAACCACAGTCTTAGAATCTATCATGCTCATATATTTTCTTACGTGTTTTTCTAGCTAGTTATTTATTTTTGCTTTATTTCCTTTGATTTATTCTCTTAATTTAGCTAATCCATCTCGTATTCGATCGCCTAAATAAGTTGACACTATCATAATCTTGTACTTGATATATTAATTATTTGGTCTCTTGGGATACGACCATGCTTGCCACATACTACGAGCGAAGCCGTGCATTCGCGATCGAGCTTTAAAAATATAGGCGAACATTCACATATGCAAAGTTTCTCATGAATTTAGCAATAAAATAGTTTTCATCCAAGTGGGATACATAAACATGTGTAACTTTGCCTGACATATACATCTCTAAGGTACAAAAGGTTTTACTGATCTATACATGTGAATTTGTAAAAAAGAGATGGATCTTATGTTGGCGCCGATCAGGTGTTCATCATTTTTTAGATTAGTAAGTGTTGATCGGAGAATGATTTTTGGTCTATTCTTCCTTCTTTGGATGATATTATGCCGAAGCGCCGATGGAGAATCCTTGCACAGATCGCGCGTCATTGTTGCCGATCGGGCATATCACCATTAATTGATCGACGGTTCCTTAGAGAATGATACTTTGTCGAAGCATCCTAAAAGCATCTTTGCATAGATTGGACTATGTTAATACCGGTCTAGCGGATCACCATTGACATGAGGGCAACTTGTGGTCTCGCTGACGTTGGCTTGAGATCGGCACAGAAGTTGAGGTTTACTCTATGGTACATGACTTGGCCTGGCCCCCAGGAGTGTAACAGCAACTCGGTATGGCGATCGAGGTGTCGGTATGTAATGAACAAGAAATTAGTGAGAACCCAACAATTATATAACGATCTTCGAGTTGACTGATTTCAAGACCTGAGGACAAGATTTGAGGTTAGATCTGTCCCCAGGGCCCTGCCTATTAGAATAGTCATGGTTACTATAGGATCGCATAGTTCTACATCCTCGACGTTCTTGTCGAGGGAGAGCTAATCAATGCATATTCTTGTGGATGGTGGGCTAATGATAAGAGAGATGAGCGATCGAATATTTGATTTTTATGTGGTGTGAAGAGGCAAAAAGTTAGTGTTTGACAGTGTTCTGGGAGTTTTGATTTCGGCAGCATAATAATATGATAATGAGCAAAAGAGGAATGTCGGCTGAGCCACCCATTCCCCGAGATTGAGGGTCGGCTAAGCTACCTTTTCTTTGAAGCGGAGGGTCGATTGGGTCGCCCTTTTGCTGAAAAGGGATATCAAAAATACAATAGAAGAAGTCTGTGAGTGATGCTTTGAGTTGAAAGCAACATGGTATAGGCCGAGGCTTTTTATAGGGAGAGGTCTATAAGTAACCCTTAATGGCTTCCCTTCCTGTAGCGCCATTTTGTTGACGATTGACTGCCACCGGTTACGGGTGATATTTATTAGATGGTTTTAACCGAGGTTACGAAACAATAAATATGGTAAAAACGGAATAAAAAGCATAAAAAATAAAGAGACATCGATCCTTTGTTGAGAATAGCATTTTCTTCCAACCAGGACTTCACTTCGCTTCGCTTCGTTCGTTCCTCTCCCTGGTTCAAGCTCTAGCCGATCTGTTGTGGAGATCGACGGAGAGTGAATTCTTTGAAAAACATTTATTGAGAGTATTATGGTTTATGTATACGTCCTATTTTGAGAGGCATAGGCAACCATATTTATACTTGGAAAAAGTAATTTTGTGTAGGTCTCGAATTTGTTTATGTATACGTCCTATTTTGAGAAACGTAGGCAACCATATTTATACTTGAAAAAAGTTGAAAAATAATAAATTCATTACTTCCAGCTAGGGGGTGTAGGTTGGAGCAGCGTCTATCCATGCAACACTCGAATTTTGAGGATATGACTGGTTTTGGCGGTCGGCCGATGACTTTATCAGCTTTAACGGTTCCATTTCTAACAGCAATGAGATCGTCAATCTTCCAGATGAAGACTCGTGATGAGATCGTCATCCGAAGTTGTTTACCGATCGGGGAAATCGACAGATTTTGTGGTTGTAGTTCATCGGGTCACTATCGTTTGGGCTTACAGGTTCAACACTCCTTTAGTTTTATCTTCTTGAGCCGAACTGGAGCTTTATAAAAATATGGGCTACAATATTATTACTATTATAATTTTACTAGAACTTAAAATAAATAAACTAAATAAGAAATTTGAATTATTTATTACAAATTCAAAACAATGAATTTTATGGTTTATTATATATATATCTATCAAACATCTGTTTTTAAGAAGTAGATAATATAAAATAAATATAACTAAATAAATAAAAAATATATATAAATAAACTAAAAAGATCTTATATATGAATATAAAAATAAATTAAAAATGATAATAATAAAATAAATCATTGGTAGAAAAATAGTTATAAAAAATTATTACTGCGAGAAGCTCAAGAAACTTCTAATTTTATATAAAATTTATTTCTTTTTTATTTTATTTATCTTGATTTATTTGTTTTTCGTATGATTTCATTTAAAATTTATATACTCAATCTTATTTTGTTTGATTGTTTTATATTATTTTACAAATGCAAACTTGCTTCCTCTATATTGTTCCTTAATTGTTGCACAAGAACAATTAGAGTTGTTTGATGAAGTTGTTGGCTTTGTCAAATATGTGTGGTGTTTCTGGAGTTCAAATAGGTTGGTCGGTATTTGTTTTTGCTAATAAATGTCAGAGGAGCAAAATAGTTAAAATAAATAATGAATATTATAATAAATGTATATGAGAAAAATAGTAAATTCATATTTTGAGTAAATAATCAATGAATAATACTCGCAACAAGAGAGCATGTAGTTTACATCTGTCATCTTTGACGAAAAGTAGAGAATTATGCAAGGAAACTGATGAAGAATGAAGATTTTAGATATTTATTTATTTTTTATATTTTTTATTATTATTTATTGTTCTTATTATTATTTCCCTTAGTATTATTTAAGTTGGTAAGTAGATAATTATTTAGTCTTTCTTGTGGGGCAAGATAGGTTGTTTAGGAGACTAGGACGCTATATATTGCGATCTCCTGTCATAGGCTGATGGATTATTGATGAAATTATAAGAAATTTATTGAGTTTTTACTCGTCTACTCCCACTCCTATGTTTCCCTACACCAGTTGGTATCAGTGACCAGCCACGATCAACGATGCCGCCACGGAGACGAGATGCTACAGACGACAGACGTGACGCTGCCATCGACAACCGGATCCACCATTACGAGGGGTTTGACTACCAGTTCGATAAGTTAGGTCGTCAGATTGCAGATTTGTCTGTGGTCATTGGGGACATTCGACTGGCTCTCTGTACCATTATTCAGGGCGAGCACACTTACCGCGACATGGCTGGCCGGAGAGCCGATCGCGGGGACTCCGCAGTTGGCATGGCTGACGTGGAATAGGCAGGGCACCTTGCCGACGTTCAACACCACTGCACGGCGATGATGACGGGGAGACCATGTCGGAGGTCAACCCCTTCAACAACCGACAAGCACACCAGCGAGCCAAGGACTTCATTGGCTACAACTTCCGCGACATGCAACGGGAGGCCACGGATGACAGCATACACTGTCTTCGCGAGCCGCGGCACGAGGGTGATGGCTACGGGGACTCACGCTGGGAGACTACTTTTCGAGTAGTGATCCTCGAATTCTCAGGGGCCTTGGTGGATGCGCAAGGGTCGACCGAGTATGAGGGTCTGTCTCGTTTTAATGATGAGGGGTGGTCTGAGTATGAGGGTCCGCCAATTATCTATGAAGGGTATCTAGTGACAAATGGATCTGAACGTGCTCTTAACGACTTTGGAGAACACACTTTTCAAATATCTTCCCTTACAGGTTTTGAGTATGTAGAACTAGTGGAAACGATTTGAGACTTAATGTGCGAAGAAAGGATGAAACCATAGTTGAATTCCTAAATGTCAATGATAGGGTACAGGAAATAAGTGATATAGGTGTTGCCCATCGTGACAAGTACTTTGGGGTCTCATCATTTGGAATAACATACATGTATGGTGCAGCTTCATTTAGTGGAAGTTACTTCAAGCGTAATGATCAATATAGAAGTTTAGGCAACAGTGTTGCATCTTATGATAATTATGAGAGAAAGTCTATTCTCAATGTGGTGATGATATACACGAGAAGAATGCCAATACAAAGACGAGGTCAGATTTTCGTTGGTGATAATTTAGGTAAAGATGAGATTGTGTCGGAATCGAAGGCGAATCCTTTTCGACAGGGAAAGTAACACTTACTTTTGACTCTTTATTTTGTAAAGCAAAATATTCCTTTTCATTTTTCGAAATGGAGTATAATTTAAGCTACTCAATCCTTGCATCATTTAAAAGTTCAACATAAATTAATATCCTAACATTACTTTTCAACTTACATGCAAATCCTGCTACATGGAAATGAAGGTACAAATTATTGATATGTAAATTTTTGAAGCACAAAGTAATAACCATTAGATTTTATAAACTCTTAAAATAATTTAAAAGTCATATTCAATATTATGTACCATCGATACATAATTCTAGTATAAGGAGGCCTAGTTGTTAGACCGTGGTTGTTATGATTTTGTGCTTATTTTCTTGTGTTTTATGTGGCGCTTACTCGAGTCTTTTTAGGTTCGGTTTAATGTCGACTGGTCCATTTTATCGTATTTCGCGTATTTTTTCTCTCGGTTTGTGCTTTTGTGGTGCGGCGTATTTTTCTTGTGTTTTGGGTGTTGAATAGGTCCATTATTGTGAGTTTGGGAAGACAATCCGTTCGAGCTGACCGAGTTGTCCGAGCCGACCGAGTCACTCCGAGACTTGTTCGAAATATGGTTGAGCCATCCGAGCCAAGTTCGAGCCGTCTCGGGCCATTCGCGAGTCAAGACCCGTGCCATGTCGCACGCGCCGCAGCACTCGCCCGCCATACGCCAGGCGGGCTGACTTTCGCTCGTGCCCCATCACTCGCCCGCCATTTCACCACGACGGCCCTAGCACTCGCCCGTGCATACCCTACACTCGCTCGAGGTTTGCCCGGGAGGCCCTAGCTCTCGTCCATTCACACCGTACACTCGCCTGGGTTTCTCCAAGCGATTCAACACTCGCCTAGGTTTTACCAGGCGTATTGCCACTCACCCACACATCCCGAGCAGTCGCCCAGGTTTCGCCAGGCGGAAATTACTCATTCTGGGCGAGTGTGTTTAATAAATGTGTGTGTTTCTAGTGTGTGTTTGTGGTGTAGCTATAAATAGACATTGTGGTTTGTATTTTTTTTACATCACCACTCATTTTCCAACTTTTAAGTTGGGAAATCCTCTCTATGTTGTCTCTTTTATTTTTATGCTTTGGCTTGGAGCTTCATGACTTAATTTTTTCGGTGTCCGATCTTATTTTTTTTATCAAAACTCGAGTTTTACGCACTATTTTTGTCCGGGCATGCGATAGGAGAGTGAGTACCGTGCTTAGGGCTTACGACTTTTAGTTTGTTTTTTGAATTTTGTGTTTATGCTTGATTCTAGGTCTTTACTTTTTTCATTGCTTGCTTACGTGTGTTAGGAATCCGATACGTGCTTATCTTATATAGAGATCTCGACTTTGCTCAAAGCGTGATGATCTAGTTTAAAAAGCTCGTGTTATACCTAGGATCACCTTGCTTGCATGTTTTTCCCTTGTTGTATTTGTTTTCTTGAGTTATGGATACTCCGTGCAACCAAAGTTTCGATCTTTCTTTCAATTCTTGCACAACCGAAGTTTCTATATTTCTTTCAATTCTTTGCAAGAATTGAAAGAAAGATCGAAACTTTGGTTGCACGGAGTATCCATAACTCAAGAAAACAAATATAACAAGAGAAAAACATGCAAGCAAGGTGATCCTAAGTAACCTAACACGAGCTTTCTACACTAGATCATCACGCTTTGAGCAAAGTCGAGATCTTTATACAAGATATGCACGTATCGGATTCCTAACACACGTAATCAAGCAATGAAAATAAAGAAAAGACCTAGAATCGAGCATAAACACAAAATTCGAAAAACAAACTCGAAGTAGTAAGCCCTAAGCAAGGTACTCACTCTCCTATCGCATGCCCGGACGAAAATAGTGCGTAAAACTCAAGTCTTGATAAAAAATAAGATTATCGGAATTTCACCAGTATTCTTGTTTCGCAAGTGACAGATAGAATGATCTTCAGTTTTCCCGATGACGACCCACTCTATCTAAGTGCAAAACAACAGAACTTAGAACTTGTTAATCTTACATGATTCTCATTCATAAAGGGCAATGGTGTAATAACATGCAAAGCCAAACTTTCAGTATATAACACTAACAAAATGTCCAGCCATCTCCTTCATAAATGTACAAAACCTCGGGCAACTCTGGTGACCTGTTTCAACAAGAATCGGCACGTCCGACAAGACATGCCCAACACAACCGATAGATCACCTAAAACGAACAATTTAACCCACCAAGACCACTACTCCGGTAAGAATAGTATCCGCATCATTCCAAACAACCAATAAGTAAGAAAAATTGAAAGATACATGATACCTTGAAGATTGCTGGAAAATATAGTGCTGGAATGTGGAAAAATAGAGATAAGCATGTCTCGGAGCTTCAGTTGCCAGAAAATGCACCTCCTATGAAGTATCCATGAAGATTTGCGAAGAAAATGGTGAAAAACGGCGAACAGTAGGCTCGGTGAGTGAAGCTTGCCGGAAAAAATGGTCGCCGGAAGAGATTATCGGATCCGTCGAAGGTGGCTGGAATCGGGAGCGCCTCAGTGAAAGGATTCCGAAGGGGTCCTCAGATTTTGGTGGGTCCCACTGAGTCGCCAGGAATTTGAAAAAGAAGACCTGTGGAAATTGTAGATCTATAACTTCCCCCGAAAATCGGAGGTCTTCTCGCCGAAATTTTTGCCGGAAATACGGATATGTCGTCAGCGCCGAGGAGAGCTTCACATTGATACAAAAATTTCCAAAATCCTAGCAAGTTAGCTGGAAAAAGTGACGGCATTCGGTGGCGCACGGTGGACGGAGGTGGCGCGCGGTGGCCGGACTCTTGGGAAAGAAGAAAGTGTTGCGCGACTTGCCCGGTCAAATGTTTTGCCCAGCGAAATTTCCTCATGTCCGCTCGGGCGAAAGTTGCACCGGGGGGAACTTAGCCTCAGCCTAATGTCTTACTTCACACGTTCGCCCAGACGAAAGAACTCGCCCGACGAAATTTCCTCATGTCCGCCCGGCCAAAGTGCCTGCCGGGCGGAATTTAGCCTCAATCGAACACGTTCGCCCAAGCAAAAATTTTAGCCCGGGCAAAAATAACCTGAAACGTTCGATTTCTCTCGATATTTGATTTGTTTTATTTTTTTATTTTTTATTTTTGGGTCAGCTCTAACAGGTCGGTACTGCCAAGTAGGTCGACACGAGCTCTCTTTTCTTTTCTTTTTTTCATTATTTTCTCACCCTTAGCCAATATTTTCCAACACTCCACCATATTCAACCCAATTTTGACAAAATCTAGGCCCATGTCCCGTTTCCTTCTTTGAACATCTCGTGTATTGTGTGGTTTGCGGGACTATTTATTCTCGATAAAAAGAAAAATATGAGAAAAAGCAAAAATCGTGGGTTGCCTCCCACGAGCGCTCATTTTAGCGTCTTGAGCTCGACGTCCTCAAACAAAATCAACCGGGATCCAAGTAGAAGAAACAATCGTGCCACGCGTTTGTATTCTCCAAAAGTAGATGAGACGGTAGCACGGAACAAAGGCGGGCCAAGTACACTCTCATGGCCGAGTTCTTGTGAAACCGAGCACAGATATTAACAACCACCAAGAGAAGAGATAAGTCTTCACGAACCAAGTCCCCATACTCGACTTTCGGGTATATAAAAATGTCCGTGGAGCATGTCGAATCAATCCCGACCATCATTTGCATTATCTCGGATGTGATTTCTTCGATCTCAAGCATCAGGAGTACGGGCGTAGGCACGTTAAACTCCTCCAAATGGTCACGATCCTCAATAACATGAAACGACGACCCAAAAGACATAAGCACCACTCCATACCCAACATCCGGAGCCGAATCATCAATCAATGCAACCTTCGGGTCCATGACATCACATAATAGCTCAGAATCCTCTTCAACATCTTCAGCATCTCGAACTAACTCCTTCTCCTCCTCAAAGTTGTCCTCCCGAGCACTATCAAGTCCGCTCGACACAATCGAATGCCCCAATAAAATATATTCCACACCTTACACCATTTCAACTCCTGAATCCACATGTTCACTCTCAACACAAGAATTTAAACTCAAAGCACAATCACCTGAAGAGAGAGTTTACGTACCTAATGTAGATTGCAAGGCCGAATCATCGAGAGAGGAGATTTCTTTAACAACCAAGTCGTCGATGTCCTCACTCGTGTCAAGAGATTGTGTTCCATCATAAACGAGAGCGAGGCCCATCTCTTTCAAGAAAGCAAACCTACCCACCATAACTCGAAATTCACCCTCTAACCGAGTACTCTCTCGAATAATTCTAGCCGATAGAGAACAATATCTACCGAGCGGAATGTCACATGCATCCATGTCGAGAAAAGCTACTACAGTCGAGTCCAACTTCGTAAGTTCGCTTGAAGAACGGATGGAATGGGAGTACTCCTCCAACTATGGAATTCCTCAATGATCGGCTTGACTCTCGCAAGTGCCTCTTGAGTGCTCTTCAAGACCTCTCGGTGACGTTCGGTAAGCTCAACCATTGCTGGAAATAAAGCTTCAAAACTCAATGTACAAGGTTGGTCAACCGATTGATGCTCATATGATGGAGAGGAAAGAGCATAGAACTCGGTTTCTTCTTTTTTGGAAATGGGAGCCATTGAAGCACGAATGTATTGGTTGCATCTCTCTAATTTCTCCATGATTTCGTCTCAACGAACTCGAGAAGCTTCTCGAATCAGCTCGAGTGGAGGTGTTGCATCATAATAATCGGAAGGCGAAGGATAGTAGTGAGACGTCTCGTCGTGACCCGGAGTGTAATAACTATATTTGCCTTGAGATGTCGGGTAAGAATGGCTAGGGCTATACCCTTGGATAGCAATAAGGATTTGAATAGCTCAGATAAGAATGAGGCGGCTCTCCATATGAATGCATCTCCTCATGGTAGTTTTCGGGGTAACCACGAGACGAGCTACCACCATAAGAATAGTCGTACGGGTCCATCGGAGCTCCTCAAGCGAAGTACCTCGCACAAGAACAACAAAACAACC